CAAAAGAAAGAGCAAATTCTGTTCCTGGGTCCCAAGAGGGCCAGACTGGAGGTGTGTGACCCTGTAAAGCCTTGCACCCAGCCCCCTCTTGTATCACCAGCCGGAAGCTGGGCGTGGTTCGAGGACCAGGTCACGCCTTCTCACGCACCCCCTGCCGTCACGTGGAGACAGGTAAGTGTTGTGCACCACACTCAGACCCCGCTTTGGGCCACCTTTGGGCCTTCCGAGCCGGGTCCCTGTCCTCCACCTCGCTGCCCCATTCCGGGTACGTCTGTGGTACCTCTGGTTCCCTGGCCAAAGAGAGAGTATAGCTCCTGCCTAGGCGTTGAAACAGAGTGCCTCGCTGACAGATGCTTTAGAGCTGCGGGCTGGGCGACACCTATCACGTTCGCTAGAAAAATAGCCTACGTGTCGAACCTCTGCTTCCCGTGGGCTCCCTTCTTATGAAGCCAGTTTCACTGTAAGCCCGGTTCGATGTGTCGGCTTGCTGCGCCATTACCCTTATATGGACTGGATACGTGCGCAATTCTTGCTCCAGTAGAGTTCCTCTTTAGCCGAACCCTGTCGAGTTCCTCCATACCTTTCGGCTACAGACGTGGCGGAGCGTCCGAAGCCAGGCCTTTCACTCGTATGCACTGGTGGAACCTGTGTTAGGCTGGGTCCATATGTTGTGATTCCTACAGCGATGTGTATTCTTCCACGGAACGCTTTCCCAGTGGTCTTGTGGAACAGCAGTGACTTCCCTGGCCTAAGCCCTGTCCCATTTCCACCTCAAATAATGCGGGGGGATCAGAAGGCTTTTGTGTAGACGTAATCCCTTCGCCACTATTGCTGGACCACCACTGACTCCAGGCTCCGCTCGGTTCCTCAGCGAAAAACAACTGGTGTGTGCATCCACTTCCGTATTTATACCCGCGCCGCGTGGCTTAGTGTGAGATGTAAATGAGCATTGGCTCGTTTTAACAGTAGTCGAAAATGACAGGCTCCCTAACCATGATCCCATTCATTCACCTTGCATATTGCTATGGCCTATATGGTGTTATAACCTGGATGTTCCTTGCAATGCATGTATTGTCAGTAATGGCACCAGTACTTCTGCTGCCTTCGGGTTTCATCTGCATGGTGTTACCATGCTTGTATTATGTTCATGACAGCACCAGCATCGCCGCTGCAGCGGGCATCAGTACTAGGGGTTGGCACAACCTCAGCCATTATCCGCTCTGCGATGTGTTTGCAGTGGCCCATGCTTGAGCAACTTGCTCTTATAGCAGCTATGCTGCTGAGCTTATAGGTCTCCGTTGTATGGAGTTCTTTTAGCTTTCAATAGCTTGGCATGCTGCCGATCTGGACCTTCGCTATCAACACGGCGGTATTTTATAGTGCAACCTAATGGTTAGGTAGTCGAGTCAAGAGACCGACTCGAAAGGGAACGTCTCCGGTTACCTAGCATAACCTCGGTTCCCTGAGAGGAGGGAACGAGACACTGTGTACGCTGCCATGTTACATATCTCAGAGTCTTTGTCGGCCACGCTCTGCTTCAGTCCAAGATTCTGAGGCAATGGCACTCAGCGCCACCCTATAGTGCAGGGGAGCCCGCCTCTATTTTGCGCGCTTGAACGCCATTGGCGGGTGAATTCTCGCCTATGAGATGAGGGCCCTGTCCCAATATCCGCACTTGCGCCCTTGTGCCCCTCAATGCGCGTTCTCGCTAAGGAGTGCAAGACCGTAGGGTGTCCCGATCCTCTAATAGTGTTCCCCAGGGGTGATCATAAGGGCACTTACTGCACCCCTTTCGCAAGTGCGCATCAGACCTCACTTTGCTAGGGGATATTACCCAGAATCCTTGTAGTGTTGTGACGTTTCGAACAGCTAACCAATGGGGGTGCTGTTCAGGAGCGGAGACTCCGAAGATAAAGGAAGACGGTGTGTTGAAGTGTTTTTCAAGGCCGCGAATTTTTAAAAATATTAGAGTTATTGTGTCACGAAATGTAGTTTTAAAAGTTTTTCAGGCGAGAATATAGTTGTTTAAAGCTCAAATCTGTGGTTTATTTATAAAGATAGCGCCTATTTAAAAATTTTATCTGACGTTTTCGGAGTTCCAGGTGATCACCGGGCGCTCAGCGCTCATGTACCCCGCCTGGAACAGCCTTACCTCGGCTAGTCATTCTGACGTTTCCCGCGGGCTCTGTGTCTAGTGGTTAAACATGAGCTATAAATCGGCTTGTGTATATCTAACGGGCGATCTTTGGTCTCATTAATCTATGATTTGTTCCCTGGCAAATCGTTTTGGCTGAGGGCAAAGTGAAGTTTCATAACTTTATATATTTTAGGCTATTTAACTGAAACGTTGTAACGTTAGCCTGTTGACTTATGTTTGACTGAATCTTTTAACTTGCTTTATTTCTTGACTTATATAGCTTCTTATACTTTTTAGGCTACTTATACTTTAATAATGGCTATTATTGATCAATAAAACTGAAATTTAACAAAAAGAGACAGGGTTGTGTCATTTTAGTTCTTATAGCCTATGTAAGACTATTTTAATATATAGCCTATATATAATATATCACCAACACGTCATGTATTTTTTCATGTATGGGATGGGAAGAATGTCATATATCAATTTCCATAATAACATAATTAAAATTGCATTTCGAATCGCTGTGAATACGGTAAGGCAGTATAAGCTCAGGTAAACCTCAATCACAATTTATCTTATCACAATTTATCTTAGCCAAAAACTGTTTTAATATTAATAACATTAACAGAATGGTTGGTAGCTAAGAGTAAAAAAATATATTATTTTTTTCATTCAAAGGATTGTGTCATGTTACAGCTATTATAAGCAGCACACACATTAGCCAAATGAACGGTGTTTGCTCTCCTGATCACAACAGAAGTGACGTAGATTGTGACGTGTGCAAAACTGTCCCAATTTTGCTCTTCGAAGCTTCGGGCCCTTGCGCACTTACTCCGCTAAGTGCACTTTCAACAAGTGTCCACTTCGAGGAAGACCTAAGGGCATAGTGTGGGTATTGGGACAGGGCCTTCATAAGGCTTCAGTAGATTCAAAGAAGGTGGGATAACCCCATTGCGCCACCTAACGGTGATGCAGTGTCTCGTTCCCTCCTCTCAGGGAACCGAAGTTACCTTAGGTAACCGGAGACGATTTAAGGAGAAAATACTCAGCAATGGTGTTGACTTATGAATTTGCATATGGTTTTTCATAAAGCTTTAAATAAAACAAGCACTATTTACTTAAAATGAGGATGTGTGGGGTTTCGAAAAAACTAACCAATAATATGAATTACATGAACAATTTCAATGAAGGGCTGTGTGAGATGTGAGATGTGATGTGTAAAAAAAATTAAGATCAATTTAATTGTGAGCAGAATATTTATATTGTGTGTACTGTGTAATTTCCAATTAAGCTGTTATTTTGTGCGATTCCACCACAGAATTTAAAACACTATACACCATTTGAGATGTGGTGGAAATTAGACTTCATAACCTTCATAAAAAAATTTATTTTATTGAATTTTCTTCTGAAACATGTCAACTGCTGAGCAGTGTTAGTAGGCAAACCATTTGAGTATGAAAAGCATTTTAAGAGTTTTTCTAAAAAAAAAAAATTTCTTATTTTCTAAAAGGTACTGTATGATTATTCATCGTCTTGTAGATGTTCATTCACTTTTCTACTTTTTACCTAGTCTTATACTCCCTGAGTACAGAATGTTATGGAAAGTTGGGTTCAAAAAGAAAACATGATATTCTCATGGTTTTGACTGAAGAATCTTAAAGGATGAGTGTGTGCACACGCATGCCACAATGCTACAACCCTGCACTGTGACCAAAACCACAAGGGAGAAAAAACGCCAGCCGCCACTGATCCCTACCAAAATGGGAGCACAAGAGTGTTGCCTTCCTCTGCTGAAACAGTCCAGAAACACAGTCTAAACCTCACCTCACATGCCCTATAGTACACACTATAAAACACACAGTGCTCACACACTGACGTATTCTAAACACAGCTCCAACACTACCATTCAAAACTTTAAGTGTAAGTAAAAGTTTTTTTTTTTTTAATGAATACTTTCTTGTGACAAGGATGTATTCAATTGATTTATAATATTACAAAAGATTTCTATTTCTACTCATCAAAGAATCCTGAAAAAAGTATCATGGTTGAGAAAAACAGCACTGTAAATCGGTCCATAATCAGGATCTAATAAAATTCAAAGAAGTCTGATCAAAGCCAATAGAAACACCACTTTGCACAATTTGCACAATAAAATATCCGAGCATCTAAACATTCCTTAAGAATGTAATGTTAAAGTGATTTATACAGTCACACTGGCCAGTCACACTGGCCTTATTAAGCAAATAAAACAAGTGAAAAGCACAAAATTATGCTCTGGGATGTTATGCATATCCATAAACCATGAGCATGGAAAGTTGAGCTTTGAGCTTTCAGCCACCATAAAATTATTTAGTACTGTTAAAATTAAAAGCAGATGCCTCTGAATTGTCAAGTATTTGCCATTGACGAGTGAGTGATGGGTTAGGACAGGAGAGCTGTATATATGTCTTAATCATATGTTTTGTGCACAAGTGGGAAATATCCTGTCCTATAGGCAATACAGGCGGTCGTCTAGAGATGGTCTATAAATGTAGATCATAACTTCCAATCCATTTGCATCTCTCATTTTATTGACCAAATGCATTAATGTATTCTTAAAGATTTTTATGAGAGAAAAATGACCTGGAAAGACTGATTATAAGTGACGATGCTGATCTGCTTAAAGCAATGAGGTTAGAGTGAAAAAAAATGACTTTTACAACAATTTGGTGACAGAATGAGTGGGACTAGGCAATGAGAGTAGAAAATGGGATAAAATGAAAGAGAACTATAAATGTACAGTTTATTTTAATCTTAATGCGTTTCCTTTCTTAAAAAGTGCAACTCAGGATTAGGGGCTGGAGTAATACGACTGACTCACTGTGGTTGCTGAAGATTTCATTATTGCTGTAGTTGGCAGAATCCTTGGATGACACCAATTCTCCATTTCCACTAGTGTAGGGTTTCTGAAACTGACAAATGGATGGAACAGATGAATAAGTTAGTTTGTCAGAGTAGCAGTGAACAAGCAACGACTGTCCATGAATTAAAAAAGGCAACATCAAATCAAAATGTACCCTATTTACTATCGTAGTGCACATTGTGAACAATTATGCAATAACGCATGTTATTTAAAATGTTTGTCTTTGTAATCTTTAATCAAAATGTGTTAACTTACTCTGAAATCATTTTCCTTTTTATGGCTGATGTCACCAAGCTCTCTTTTTTTTCAACCCCACACACACATGGTATTGGGCTGATAAATGGCAGATATTAAAATTCTATACTATTTTTTGTTGATATAAATAATATTAACAATACAAAAGTAAAAACTAAACTACAAGTGAATTTAATGCTTCACAAGATTATACATAACAGTATGAAAAATGGAATTTCATTTCCTAAACATTACATTTAACAGTGTTATTAAATTATTAATTTTCAAATAATAACTTTAAATGATTGTTAGATGACAGTAAATGTAATCTTAATGTACAAATATGGAGAAAATTAGCATGATAATTAAATATAGAGTATCAGCTGATATAAATCCAATATTGACTGATACTGATATAGTACAAAACCTGTAATATCGGATGCTAATGAACACGGTACCAATTGTGCGTTAACACGTACAGTTTCATTCACAAGTTTGGGATCAGTACTAATTTTTTATGTTTTTGAATTAAGTCTCTTATGTCTCTTATCACCAAGGCAACATTTATTTAATCAATATACAGTAAAAACAAAAATATTGTGGAATATAATTACAAATTAAAATAACTATTTTCAGTTTTAATATTTTAAGAAGTAATTTATTCCTGTGATGGCAAAGCTGTATTTTCAGCAACCATTACTCCAGTGTTTAAGAAATCCTTCAGAAATCATTCTAATATGCTGATTTGGTGCTCAAGAAACATTTCTTATTATTATCGATGTTCAAAACATAAGCTTTATAGTATTTTGTGGAAACCATGATACATTTTTAAAACATCTTTGATAAATAGAAAGTTAAAAAGAATAGCATTTATTTGAAATAGTACTCTTTTGTAACACTATAAATGTATTTAACGTTACTTTTTATCAATTGAAAGCATTCTTGCTGAATATTAATTTCTTTAAAAAAGAAACTCTTTGACATCAAACTTCTGAATGGTAGTGTACAACCAATTTTATTTTGTTGATTTAAAAAAAAAAGCCTAAACACATTGCATAATTAGTGATATGTAACTTTTAGGGCCGGGACTTGATTAAAAAAATTAATCTAATTAATTAGAGGCTTTGTAATTAATTAATCGAAATGAATCGCATTTTAATCGCATAAATATTTGACCTGAGAACAGTGAGAAGTAATTTTTTTCACATGGATTTTTAGTATACCATTGAATAATGACTGCATACATAAGCTTAAGCAACAAGTCCAGCAGACCAGTGCAATTTTTGCCATTAAGTGTAGCAATAGCATATTGCTACACTAGACTAATAGCAATAGCGAATTCCTTGTTGCATAGCTTGCACACAACCATGCTCTTATCGACGCTTCCATCCGTTCGTTTTTTGTAACAACATTTCCCAGCCACCGGCCAACCAAAGCGATCTCGTCAGCTTCCAAGGGGGTAATCCATCGACCGGAAGTTGAAGTCGGCCGGGTGCCGCCATCTTGTAGCAGAACTTCACTTGCGTTAGCATTTCCATTGACTCCCATTCATTTTGGCGTCACTTTGACAGCGAATAACTTTACATCTGAGGCGTTTAAAGACTCCATTTTTCCATTATTTATTTCTAAAGAAACACGACAATGTATAAAAGGCTCCATTACCTTCTATGTTACGTTATGGCCCCGTAGAAACAGATTTAGTAAAAATAGGCTAACGATTGCGTCATAACCACTCGACTCTCTGTCGCGCTGTACAGAAATTACCGTATAGACAGAAGTAGAAACTCGCGCGCAATCGAGCTCATGGACAGCTAATACTCACGATCTCCGGCTCTGCAAGTTTCGGAAGGGAATGATTCAGATTCCTCTTGGCACAGCTACTAGAAGATTAACGTCTGTCAGACAGGTTGCTCACGTCATCAAGCTTAGTTTGAGTCGGTTTGAGTCTGCGCGTCAGGAACGGAAGTGCTCAAAAATCGCTAAAAAATGGGCTTCAACGGTCTCAACTGAGTTCCAATGAGATGGTTCTGTCCATTTCTTTTACTGTCTATGTCAGCTTCTTCGTCATGAACGCTAGTTGGTGCGCCAGTATAATCGGTCCGCCGAAACTCATCCAGTGAGAAACGTTCCGCGGTGCAAAAATAAGTGCGATTAAAAATAATTTTTTGTGTAATTAATTAACGCGTTAAAGTGTGTAATTAATTAATCTTAATTAACGCGTTAAAGTCCCGGCCCTAGTAACTTTACTAAACTGCAAACAGCTTGCTCAAATCAGATAATTTTTTTTTTTTTTACTCTGGTTACATAGGTCACATACACTTCTTTCTTCAACTGTCTTTTTAACACCCCTCTGCTGGACCGTACCATGTGCTCCAGTATGGATGAGTTTGAATAGATGGGCTGAGAGTGGATTCCACCACACAGCTGCTGAAAGGGGTCGTCCATGTACATGTTTGAGGTGGGGAACTTGCGGCTTTTCAGACCACTGAGGAACAGAGGAAACAGAAGAATGGAAAGAGGATGCGGAAAGAATGTAAGTACTTTTATGAGTGTGTGTGTTGCTCAGTGATTCATGCTTGGTTCATATGGAATGCTGGCAGCAGACAGACAGCATGTGAGTGTGTGTGTACCTCAGTGACTCGTGGCTGGTGTGTTGATATGGAGAACCAGCTACAGTGGAACTCCCATCCTGCAGGAGCTGAACCCACTGCTCTTTATCATCTGCACAATTTGCCTGCACGTTCATACATGTAGAATAACATACAGTAATTCATAAGACAGTGATAACAGTTTAAAACAACAAGAAATCAAAATAGACCATATTTACTTTCATTTTAATATCCCTGCCCTTTATAAGTAGGCCTACTGTTGCAGTACTATGGTACAGTGATGGTATCAGATGGTGATACTGTGGTAATTTTATATATACCAAGGTACATGCATACAAGAACATGGTACCACCATGATACCATGTAAAAAACAAAACAAAAAAACAATAAAAGCACTATGGTACTTTTTGGTATTGTTTAAAACCATGGCATGTGTAAAAAACATGGCATTGCCATGGTACCATGCCCTAAATATCTACGATTACACTTTATTTTAAGGTGTCCGTGTTACAGTGTAATTATGCATTTAAGTACTGTGTAATAATAATGAACTACACGTACTTACTATACGGTTAGGGTTATGATTGGGGTTTGGTTTAGGTTAGTTGCATGTAATAATGGATAATTTATAGTTCTTACCAAATCTACTTTAAATGACTAAAACTAAAACTGGAATAAAAATCAATTAAAGAAATTCCTAAATATTAAGATTTAAAAAAAATTATACAAGCGAATATTGAATCATTATTGTACCTCTAGTACAGCCACCTGGTCTCCGTGCTGTGTTATAGTAATGCGGTAAGCATGTGCTGTATCCGGGCCGGGACGGACCTCACTCCCTCTGAGCTGAACCGTGTATTGAGGGGTCTGTTCTGACTCCTCATCTCGATACATCTTCAGAACCCCGTCCTCCACGCGACACCACAGACTCTGCCACTGACAGTTCATCAGCACGTTCAGGAAGGCCGCTGAGGACAGTGAACAAAGAGTTAATACACGTTACCTGTGCCTGATAATAATTTGTGTTCATGGTATATTTGTGTGTTGCTCATTACATTTCAAATTGTGACCTTGGTTGTTCTTAAAGTTGGCGTGTTAAATTTGACCAATGTTTAAAACTTTATACTATTTCAGCTGAAAAGCAGAGACAACTATTAGTAAGCCACTCTCTTACAAAAAAGAGGGTTATTAGTGTGATATTTGTATACTTCTTTTAAACTTAAGAAATATAACAGCATACATTCAGTCTACTTTTTATGTAACAAACAAGTACACAGAAAAGTCTTCATGTATTTGGCCTATACTTGTTCTTATGATATACTTGATATTTTGATTGAGATATACTTATGAAAGTATAATTATTTTAAAGTAATTAAAAAAAAATAGTGCCCCTATTATGGATTTTTGAAAATGACCTTTCATGTAGTGTGTAACACAGCTCTAAGTGAATGAAAACATCCTGCAAAGTTTTAAATCTGAAAGTGCACCGTATATAAAGTTATTGTGGTGTCTGCGCGCGCAATAAGTGGGCGGGCAATACGCTAATGTTTTTTCTTGACGTCACAACGAAACGGCTTATGACTCGTTTGAAAAACGATTCATTTCATTGACTCAGAGTCGACTCTTACTTTTGAAAGACGGAAAACTTGAACCTCAAACACTGCAGCTGATTCCTGTGGATACTGGACAGCATCATGTCGAGAAGACGTGCTTTACAATGTGACGGTAAAGCCAGTTTCTTTTCCACTGCCCAAGGATGAGCATGTGAAGAATCAATGGTTAAAAATCATCTTTACCACGATACCACAACAGTATAATCCTAAACTTTTGCTGTGTTCCCTTTATTTTACTGACGACTGCTTCTCAAATCTCGGAGTTCAATGCAGGATTCGCAAACCCCTTGCTCTTGAAAGATGGTGTTCAAAAAGTTTTGAGTTTGATATTGTGTTACATATTGTGTATATTGATACAGCTGGTCTCCTGCTAACTGGTTAACTCACATTATTACTGTCTGACTGAAATACTTCTGCTAACCAGCTGTGGGCCACTATTACCTAAAACTGTGTCTATTAATGCAGATTGTCTGTCGTTCTCACTACTTTGAGGAGAGATTAAGCATGGAGCAAGATTTGTTTTACCAACGTTTATGTTACATCAGTCATTCACGCTAGAGCTCAGCTAATGTATGCACTGTTATTGATACAGTTTCCACATGTTCACCGCAATAAATTAGAAAAATACTCGGTAAATAAATAAGTACAAGTAAAAAAATCGGTTTGTTGATGGAAATGTACTTGTTAATGCTTATGGTGAGGAATTACAGTTGCAACATCTCATAATGTACCTCAAACTGAGTAGCTTATCACTGAGAAACGTCCTGCTCGAGTTGTCCTTGCGATGGAGGTTCAGGTTGAAGAACTAGTTCTTCCAGTGTTTTATCATTGGACTCGCGCTCGGATTGATATGGTAAAATGGACGTCATTGTTCGTTACTGTTTAGTTTACGGTGTAGGAAGCCTCAGGACAAGCAGATCTGACGTTGTTATGGCAATGGGCGTTTTTGTTTTCGACACGCTCTGTACACGGTAGACCAATCACAACAGACTGAGCTGTCTGGCCAATCAGAGCAAAGTAGCTTGCGGAAAGGAGGGATTTAGAGAGATGGATTCATCTGACGAGTCTTTTGAGAATCATTGAAAATGTGGTGATGTGCAAATGTATTTTATGAGAAAATGAAACAGTTTTTTTTACTTTTGATGCATGTAAACCAACAGTAGGAGACTCCAAAACAACATTAGGAAACTTTAAAATAGCATAATAGGGGCACTTTAAGTATGGTTGGCTTGTTTAGAGTATCCTACACTTTTTCACACATAATGGCTTCTCTGAGGTAGTACTCCAGCACATGTTTTGTGCTGGAGTACAAAACATGTACTCCAGCACAAACGTAGACAATGTAGACAATATAACATTGTCTACATGTTATATAGACAATACTATCTTTTAAACTTACATGTTCAAATTTAGAGTAACCAGTCAGCTCTGGGGTTGAATAGTTTAGAGAAAATAGTGCAGTACACTGGTGGAACTGAATCTGATCTTCACAGTGCTCTCAATACACACAGAAACAGATAAACATTTGGCTGATTTAATTGACAATTCTTCAAAGATGTCAGAGTATTGTAAAAGACTGGCATCTAGTATAAACCGTTATCAGAATAAATAATTGTACATCTCATCATAAAACTACAAGTATGATGTTAGGTTCATGTAAAGTAAACTACCAATATGCTGGAGTATATAGCTAATAAACTATCAGTAGTTCACATTATAGTTGCCACATACAAGAACAATTAAGACTTAAACTAGTTGTAGTTGTAGGGTTGGGAATTGGATACTTAAGGTCAGGAGTCAGATATTTGTTACAAAATTAAAATTTTGATTACTGTGTGCACATTTTAATGTGATTTTAAACCATGCAAGCACAAGAAGACGCGAAAGAGAACAGCACAGTTTTCTTAGGCTACTTTTTAAATTGTTGCTGTAAGTCATTAATTTGTTTGATATCTTAATATTTGACTTTTTTTTTTTTTTTTTTACCTTATTGGAATCGAAACTGGGAATCAATAAGAATTGTTTAAGCCTCCTGACTAGCACAACACAATGTGATGTATGTTTGGTTCTTCACACTACTAGAAGGTATGGTGGTTCTGTCTATTTCCCAACCAATTGCAGATGGAGGGAGTGTTCAGAAGAACATGCTTGAAAACAATTCAAACAATTTTTGTCATTCTGTTTGCTAGGGGTGCAGAAATTACACACTTTAGATAAAATAATAAAATAAACGTCCGAGTCTATAATCAAAGTATGCTTGTACAAACACAAATAAACAAATAAACTTGTATGAAAGTTTCCCTTTCAAGTTGTTTGTGGAGACACGTGAAGTAGACATCTACACGTCTCTAATCAGTGAGCGCACGTTTCCAATAACAAAACATTAAAACATTACTCAGCAAGTGGTAAGTCGTAGCCACTTCCAAGTTTCAACTAAACTTTTGATCTTCCCCAAAATCTAATTAGCTTATTTATTTTTTATAAAATAAATAGCTTTTCCTGTTTCCTTCATAAACAAATACGCTCTCTGCTTACATTAATGCTGAGCCACTATCAGAAAGTTCACCCAAATATTTAAAATCAAACTTCTGAGTTCACTGCTGTGGTTGTCACCCCAATGTCAAAGGTGACAATAAAATCTCACAGGAATCCATCCATAGACAATGACACAGTGTGGAAAACACCCAGCCTGTGTCCTGTACGGCATGCAGTGAATTTAGCCCCTAATGAATAACACCAAAACGAGTGAACAATGGCACAGTTGTGCTAATAGAAGGGCTAGCAACATATGCAGACCACATAATGGGTATAAAGCATATGTTATTGGTAGACTTCTTTAATTAGAAACAGCATTAGGTTGCGGAAAGACAACAAAGAACTGTGGGAAATGCAGACATTAAACAATGAAATCAAAACCGACCCTATTTACATTCTTACATGATACAATTTTTACATGATAACGGTTTCGTTTTCAAAAACGTGCACTTTGAAACCCGTTTCAAAGTTTGCGTTCTCAAGCCACCAAAACGCCGCTGTCGTGTAAATGAATGGCTTTAACGCATTAAAGGTTTTCAGTTGAAAACGATGTTGTGGAAATGCCCCTAAATTAATAACTAATGATTATTACAATGGAAATGAATCAACGCTGAACTTAACGGTACTTAAACTGGACACTGAATTTCTTCTAGAGCTGCTGTACAGTCAAAACAATCTTTGTTGCATTCATTTCCTGTTATCATTGTAAAGCTGCTTTGCAACAATCTGTATTGTAAAAAGAGCTATATTAATAAAGGTGACTTGACTTGACTTAACATTTTATCTTGATTTTATAGTGAATGATTTATCAGTGCACTTTATTCAAAACTAAAAAAAAAGTTGCATAATTTTTCATCAAAATGTAATAACACATCGCAACCTTGGTAGGCTGGCATGCATAAAGTCGTGATGTAACGGAAGTAGCAAAGATCTTTTCTTCCGCAATGCGAAGCAAATCCGAATGAAACGGTTGTTGAATGAATGGGCAATCAAAATGTAATAACTTGACCCCCCTTTGAAACAACTTTCCTTTATGGCTGACATCACCAAGCTTTTGGTTTATTTACCAAGACAGTCCACTCATATTACTATGAATTGGAGAAATTGCAACACGCAATGTGGTGGAATAAGTCTTGCCTTCAAAATATAACAGCCAATCGCCAATTGGTAATTTTGATTAAAGGCAACGTATGTTACATAATATAGACAAATATTACTAATATTTAACCCGTCCGTAATATTGCTGCAGAAAGAATCAAGCTTTTAGGGTTATTCATGGTCTGTTGTAGTAATTTGTTAATTCTTTACACTTTAAATTTTCCTTTTAATGTTCGATGGTTGAAGGGTGAGTACAATAATGACACTTCATTCTTCCCAGTTTTAAACAAAAAAGCTTATTATTGCTTATTAAGAGCGAGCCTTTCACTGATTGCTTACAGTTTAGCGGAAGTTACTCCCATAATTCGCGCAAAGCATCATTGGGGCATAGGAAAAAGGTGGATAGTATGTAGCATGAATGCAATCCGGACTTACTAGATCCGTCATGTTGTCATTGTCATTTGGCACTGGCGTTCACAAATCTAATTCCTGTAGCTTCATGGGATATTAAAGTGTCCATTGGATGCACACATCAGAATATTGACAGAAGTAGTAGGTCATCCGGGTACTTTTCTCCTACTGTTTTTATGAATACTGTGAATTCAAACATATTTCTCATCTCACATACTGTTTTTCACCTACTATATATTAGGGAAGTGCGTGATTTCGGATGCAGAGAAGCTCTCTTATTTTTAAACCCTTCCCCTTCAAACACTTGGTTCCATTATGGTACGAAACACCCCCTTTTCATCATCCAACTAACTCCTTTGTGTTTCCAAACGCAAGTGTGTCTGCTCACCTCTGTCTTTGTCTTTAATCTCCACACTGCTAATTGTAGATGGAAGACTTGAGATTTTCTCTTCATCCGAGTCTGTATGGAGGACAGTACTTGACTACAGAGAGAAAGAGAGATTGTAAGAACTCGTTAATTGACATAAGCAAGTACAAAATACAAAATATTCTCCAACACAGGTAAGGCAGTCCTTACCAAATCTACAAATTGGCTTAATATGGAACACAAGACTTTGCTAATCAGTTTAGTTCATGGCTCAAGCCAGCAAAACATTCATGAAAGAGACTCTGGAATGGACGTGAGGGAAAGGTCTCCAGATGAATAACCACCAAGCTAATTCAGTAACATCTCTTTCAGAGAAATGAAGTAATGCTGTTACTCTCTCGCTGTGTCCATCACATTGATAATGTTGTTAACATAGAGAACAGGACCTGGCATGGTGTCAGTGAGTGTGTAATTTACCCTGCAAGAGTCCAGCCTCTCGCTCCTCAGGATGGATGAGGAGCTTTGGGATTCAGGCTCGTAATAAGAGGAGCCGCTCACTTCTTCTATAATCTACAAATGAGACAAACAGAAAACAAGTTAGTTAAAGTTACAGTTTAAAGTTGGCATGAAATGAAAACTCCCCCTATGTATTTTCAAAATGCATCTTATAGATCTTATTGTGAACAATTCATCTGTGCATGTTTAATTTTTTAAAGACTTTTGACCCTCGTAATGTTTCATCAAAACATCATAACTGGACCTTCCGGTGAAATGACAGACATCTCTCTGGTGATGTATGCAGGGACCTGCAATCACTTCGTTTGCTTAAACCCCACCCTCACATTCATCTGCCTTCACTTTTGAGTGGAACGGCCACATCGCCCTACATTTGGTCTTTGGTACACTCACCGACCACTTTATTAGGTATACCTTGCTAGTACCGGGTTGGACCCCCTTTTGCCTTCAGAACTGCCTTAATTTTCATGGCATTGATTCAACAAGGTGCTGGAAATATTCCTCAGAGATTTTGGTCCATATTGGCATGGCAGCATCACGCAGTAGATTTGTCGGCTGCACAGTGCACATCCATGACATGAATCTCCCGTTCCACCACATACCAAAGGTGCTCTATTGGATTAAGATCTGGTGACTTTGGAGGCCATTTAAGTATAGTGAATAATAATATTTTGTTACATTTATTTAGCGCTTTTCTCTGCACTCAAAGCACTTTACATGGACGGTGGGAATCTCCTCAACCACCACCAATGTGCAGCATAAACCTGGATGATAAGATGGCAGCCACAGTGCACCAGAACTTCCACCACACACCAGCTTAATGGTGGAGAGGAGATGAGTGAACTCATTGTCATGTTCAAGAAACTAGTTTTAGATGATTTGAGCTTCTGTAGCCGTCAGAAGATAGGTACACTGTGGTTATACAATAAGGAAATATCCCCCACACCATTACACCACCAGCCTAAACCATTAATACAAGGCAGAATTAGTCCATGCTTTCATGTTGTTTAGGCCAAATTCAGACCCTACCATCTGAATGTTAAAGCAGAAATTGAGACACATCAAATTGAGACCAGGTGACGTTTTTCCAATCTTCTATTGTCCAATTTTGGTGAGCCTGTGCGAATTGTAGCCACGGTTTCCTGTTCTTAGCTGACAGGAGTGGCACCCAGTGTGTGTCTTCTGCTGCTGTAGCCAATCTGCTTCAAGATTCGACATGTTGTGTGTTCAGAGATGCTCTTCTGCAGACCTCAGTTGTAACGAGTGGCTATTTGAGTTACTGTTGCCTTTCTATCAGCTCGAACCAGTCTGGCCATTCTCCTTTGACCTCTGGCATCAACAAGGCCTTTTCACACATAGAACTGCCACCCACTGGTAAAGATATTTTATCTTTTCAGACCATTCTCTGTAAACCCTACAGATGGTTGTTTGTGAAAATCCCAGTAGATCAGCAGTTTCTGAAATACTCAGACCAGCCCATCTGCCACCAACAACCATGCCACATTCAAAGTCACTAAAATCACCTTTCTTCCCCATTCTGATGCTCAGTTTTGAACTTCATCAGATCATCTTGATTCTTGACCATGTCTACATACCTAAATGCATTGAGTTGCCGCCATGTGATTGGCTGATTAGATATTTGCGTTAACAAGCAGTTGAACAGGTGTACCTAATAAAGTGTTTGGTGAGTGTACGTCACAATATGGAGGAAAAGATCTGTCGCTACTTCTGTTTCATTGCAACTTTAAGTTTAATGAAAATGTAAGTCTAAGTTTAGACTTGGTCAGACCTTCCTCCACTCTTCGGCCTGCGTGCTGCTCTGGAAGCCCAAGTTGACTGTGTCGGCACCGGCCACCACCTTCAGCTCGTGCTGCATCTTTTTGCTGTGTTTAGATTTGAAGACCACGTAGCAACCCGTGAGGTTTAGCTCCAGCAGAGGGTGTAAGTCTTTAGCACACTTAAAACACTGCCAGGGAAAAATGTATGTATTACATACAGAACAGTTACTAACAACATTCAGTTCTTTGTAAAGATGTAAAAAAATTAATGCAATGTTTTAAGACACTTAACTGCATGTTATTTACAATTAAATGAAAATGTATTGTAGTTGTAATTAGTTGCAATTATAAATGCAATGAGTTGAACTCTAAAAGGCTTATTTGATAGCCTGACTACGTCAGACTTCGTACTTCCGCTCAATTTCAGTTCACTTCTGTACTCAGTCTGAGATAGCGACCTATCTCTCAGTTTTCCTCCGGCCTGAAAACAGCCGGCCAATCAACGAACAGAGGGCGGGCTGAGAGCCGTGACGTAGACGCTAAGCGGCGAATTTAAGATTGTATTTTAGGTTAGGGAAATCGAAAACGACTGCGGATATGGAGATACGGGATGCAATTCGCTCTGTTGTGGAGAATATTCCCGGCATTTGCAAACTGAAGCCCGAACAAGAAGAGTGTTTGTGAGGTGATGTTTAAGTTGGAGAGAGAGGTGATTGCGTTATGTGATTGGCTTACGGGTAACCAATGATTTTATACTTCAGACAAGCGCACACCCCCCTGCGAGAAAGAAAACACTTTTCAATTATGCCATTCCAGACTCTGTCTACGACGCAAAGCGAAGTAGCAGAGTTTGGTATTACCAGGCTACTTATTTGACCCACTTAACTAAGATTTACATAATGTACTTATGTATTTATGTACTGACAAGCATTAATGTTAAACTACAAATACGCACTACACATTTAGAATATCTGACAGATGGATTCGACTAACTCTGGTTAGGTTAGTAACTTTTTTCGGTCAGAATCCGAAGTGCAGATCCATCCAACACTCTAATGGCTAATATTGCCCACAACCCATTGCGCTGTTGGACGAGGATTCGAGAACTACAAACACGAGTAAAAAGTGTTAAAAAACTACATACATGGAGGATGTGCGAGTCCGGCGGTTATGTAGAGAGGTTTAGATAAAGGGGTTTGAGTGATTAATTATCAGTATCTAACCTGATGTAAAATGTATTTATTCAATGTTGTCCACATTATATTTCATCTGCAGCAGCATTGTGAACTTTTGTAAAGATATGTTTAGCCATTAACTTTTAAATGCATCATTAAAAGCGTACATACTATTAGGGCGTAGTATAAGAAGGCAAATTGGGACACAGCATATAACTAATGAAGATGGATGCTGCGTCCCAATTCGCATACTATCCGTCCTAAATAGTATTCGAAAATAGAATTAGTATGTCCCAAATCGTAGTATGTTGAAATGAGTGTTCCAAAGAGACCCGGATGGTCTACTATATCCGGTCAGAATCCGAAGTGCAGATCGATGCACACTCTAACGGCTGATATTGCCCACAACCCATCGCGCGTTGGACAAGGATTCGGTTAGAACTACAAACACGAGTGAAAAGTGTTAAAAAAAACTACAGACATGGGTCCATGAGACGCGAGTCCGGCGGTTGTGTAGAGAGGTTTAGATAAAGGGGTTTGAGTGATTAATTATCAGTATCTAACCTGACGAAAATGTATTTATTCAATGTTGGCTAGATTTTATTTCATCTGCAGCAGCATTGTGAACTTTTGTAAAGATACGTTTAGCCATTAACTTTTAAATGCATCATTACATTCAAATTGCAAAGGAGAGTGTTACTGTCACGATCTGCTCCAAGACACGAAGATGAGATCCAAATGCAGCTCATTTATTGTGGGCAATCCAGAGGCGTAAACCAAAGTACAGGCAAGGGTCATACACAGACAGGCAGTCCAAAACAGAGAAACAAAGAAACAAACAAAACAGGCAGGGACCAGAGGCAAGAGAGTAATCCAGGGAACAGGGCAAGATATCCAAAACCAAGAGACAAGAAAACCATGAGAATGCTCAGAAATGCAGTGTAACACTTAAACAAGACTTCGCGGTGAGTGAATGAATGAACATGGTATAAATAGACAGACTAACAGGATGATGAGACAGGTGAATGCAATCAGTGAATGAGGTACAGGTGAATGTGATCAGTGATAAGTGATGGTGAGTCCGGGCAGTGAGTTATGGGAAATGTAGTTTGTGAGTGATAATAGTCTTATCTGGAGTGCCCTCTGGTGGCTCTCAAGGGCACTCCAGCTGGTGACCGTTACAGTTACATCCGCATGAAAGACCCACGACTGGCAGATGAACGTGCTACATTTCTCTCCGAAATGGTAAGAAATTATATTAGATTGAATGGAGGATTTTAACTGTGACGAGATGATTGACAGGGCAGTTTACGGTGATAGGATGCACGCGGCAGATCTGTCCGTTAAAGATGGCGAAGTAGTATGTCCACTGATCTATATAGAATGACATTATATAGATCAGTGAGTATGTCCCAAAGCTTGCCTACTCTTTTGCTACACACTCAAAAGTATGTACTTTTTCTTCACAAAAAGAGTACATACTTTTAGGGCGTAGTATAAGTAGGCGAATTGGGACGCAGCGGGAGTCTTCATTAGTTATATGCTGCGTCCCAATTCGCCTACTTATACTCCGTTCTCAGAGCCGGTGTTCAACTTCTCAGCGCTGTCAAAATAAAAGTCTGGTATGGTGTCAAAATAAAAGTTCCACTTTCAACACATCAGCCAAACAAAAAACTTATCGGCCGATGCCAAAACTTAACAAATGCCAAATATCGGCAGATATATCAGCCATGGTGATATATCAGTCGACGACTAGTAATTTGTGGGTGGGACATGTCGATATTGTCCCCACCACTTTTCGAAACATCAGTTGACTAGCAGAATATTAGACTAGCAGAATACATTTCATTCGTTAAATTAGTGGCGATATGGTGCTGGAATGTGTTGTTTTTTAAATCATGCTGAGTGTCCGTTGTGTACGTTGTTGCTGTAATCAGACTCTCTATTCATTCAGGTGAAATCACAAAACAAAATGCACACAAATATGTCACTGCTCTTGATATACAATCACTGATGAACATCTTTGGTTTTAATGAGAAGGAGAAAAAAACCTATACGAGGGCGGATTAGAACCTAGAACCTCTGATACACTTAACAAAAGTTCTACCACCAGACCATAAGGGCAAACAAGAAGCTAAAGCGTATTTATGTATTTATTCAAACTCAAATTGTTCTATCCAGACTGGACTATTGTAATGCTCTCTTGGCAGGCCTTCCAGCTTGCACTGTCAAACCTCTGCAACTGATCCAGAATGCAGCAGCGAGAGTGGTCTTTAACGAGCATGTCACATCTCTCATCAACTTGCACTAGCCATTTGCATTAAATTCAAGGCACTGCTGTTTACCTACAGAACAACCACTGGCTCTGCACCCCTGTACCTAAACTCACTACTTCAGACTTGTTTGCCCTCAGAAGCTTGCGTTCTGCAAGTTCTGCATCACTTTCACGGACCTTTACCTTGACTATTCCCTGCTGGTAGAATAAATTGCCTAACTCCACCCATTTTCAATAAACTGCTTAATACTTGAACCATTAATACCAACTCTTTGTTTGTACTGTAAACTTCACTTGTTGCTTCTATTGTTCTCTTAATTTGCAAATCACTTTGGATAAAATGTAATTGTAAATATATAAAATAAAAACAGCAACATTACAGTATAATATAGCAATTGCCTTTAAATGTGGATATTTTTACATATTCTAAATCAGGGATGGGCAACTTCGGTCCTTGAGGGCCACTATTCTGCAAAGTTTTGCTCCAACCCTAATCAAACACACCTGATCCATCTAAACAATGTCTTCAGGATTACTAGAAAGCTACAGGCAGGTGAGATTTCTTTTATTTATCAGGGTTGGAGCTAAACTCTGCAGGACAGTGGCCCTCCAGGACCCATCCCTGTTCTAAATTAATCATTTAGGTATCTTGACAATGTTTCTGTAAAATAACTAATACTGTAAATGTGCAGGTTCCTTTGATTGAAAGTATGTATTCTGTACTTATACATTTAGTTAATTTAACAGAAATTGTCTAACAGAAAAAAGTACTTAATTTAGAGATTGGTCAAATAAGTTGTGAGATTGGATCTGTAAAAATAAAGATTAAACTTAGTTATTGTACACAGAAAAACTATTTTAAAAGAAAATGACTGTAGATAATTTTTTTTATTATAAAAAACTTTATAAAAACCTAAATTTAAAGTTTGACCTAAAAGTAAGTTGTTTTCAATGTAATTTGACATTATTTATCAGTTTTCCACGGTTTAATAAGCATTTATCAACAGTGATACGTATGATGTAATTTCATTCATTTTGACTGCAAAATCTATTCTGTATTTTTACTGTTTTTGCAAGTAATTTTGTGAAATGGCTGTAATTTAACTGAATCCATTTGGAAACTTTTCTGCCAGACTTTTTACAGTTTTTATTTTTTACAGTGTGGATTAAAACTATGGATTTCTTGATTTTAATCGATTCTCATTTTGAAGAACCGATAACGATTCTTAAATCAAAATAATCAATCTTTCAGTCTCTACTGTTTTCAGTTGATGAATGAACAAAGCTTTGTAGCGTACCTCCCATCCAATAAATCGCAAAAAGCTTTGTGCTTTGTTACGTCTGATATGAAACAAAGTCACAGCTTTCAAATTCTGTCAATTTTATTAATAAATTCAAACAATAAATACCGTTTTGGAGCTCTTTAATGTGGTGTGACAGATCACTCTAGCGCCTCAGTTCAAGTGAAGCGGCAGCGCGAAGCTCACGTGAACTGACCATCTCTTTCACATTACTACTAGTTACAGCATGAAATAAACAAGAATGAACATCAGAAGGTATGTTGAAAGATACAGTACAACTTACCAAAATCCGTATATAGTCAGATGTAATTGCTCAATCAGTGTTTTAACCGCAGAAAGACGTCAATAATTGCTTACGGCTTGAAAATAATGTCATGTAATGTTATATTTACCTCAGAAAAGCCATTTCAAACTCATTAGTCGGCTAAAAAAATTAACTCTATGTGAACTATATTGCATGTTCATTGTATTTAAACCTGTTCTTCGATATCTAATTTATTTTTGAATAAATCCATCATGTTTTTATGACAACCACCATTTAAATGTTTATATTTAAATATATATATATATATATATATATATATATATAAGTATAAAATTATTAAACATAATTAAGTCATAAAAGTTTGTCATAAAAGTTTGTCATAAAAAATGTACTATTACAATGCCATTATTCAGTCCCTCCAGAAAAACGCGATTATGCGATCGCTGAATTCAATGCAAAATCAGCCAAAGTCCGCATATTTATGCGGGGGTCGCATTTTTTCAAATACTCCGCAATTTCGCCGCATAAATTGCTGATTTCCGCGCAAAATATGCGGGGCTTGCATGATTTCATAATCCCCGCATTTTCGTCGCAAAAAAGTCACATATATCTTAGCAGAAAGTTGGAAAATGTTGCGTTTGCTTCACACAAGAGCAGCCACTTCCCCCTGTTGCCATGGGAACGCTATGAAGTGACGTAATTACGCGACGTGAACATCATTGAAAAGCTGTAAAACAGGAGCACACTTTATTTTAAAATATTTCATTTATTCATTTTTACTGAAGTTGTAGCATATTCCTCTAGTAAAGCTACAGAACTTGTTTGACTCAGCAATGTTTTGTAAGTTTGATGTGTTTATTAAGGTCTTGTAACGCGTTGTGTCGGGAAGAAAAATAGGGATAGCTCACAGCTGAAGTGATTGCAGAGGCCAGACAGACTCACGGAGGCGATTGGCATCTCACAACTCGCACTTTATTCGCAAATCGAACTCGTAACTGTCTGTCACACGTTCTACCGTCCACGTCGTTACTTAATAAACAAAATAAGATAAAAGAAGTAGCATCAAACAGAAATTACCCGCACACATGGGGTGTTCGAGGCGCATGGCACATATAATACTGCAGACAGTTAGACAGGGAGCGCGCAGCTCTTAAAGGGGCCACACCTTATTTCCACTTGTTACAGTCTGAAATAAAACAAGATGAGAAATTAAATATTTCCAGCACTTTCTGTGATGTAGTATGCTTGCTTATCATAGGAAGTAATAAGAAAGGACTCTTTACATTAAGGTAGTAGCCTGGTGAGAACAGGGTGTTGGGGGAATCACTTTTTTTTCCTCGCAGTTTTTGCAAGTTCCCGCAATTTTTGCAAGTTCCCGCAATTTTTGCAAGTTCCCGCAAATTTTGCAAGTTCCCGCAATTTCATCGCAAAAAATTGCATAAATATCCCGCATATTCAATCGCATTTTTAAAGAAAACAGGCCGCGTAATCAAGGATTTTTGCCCGCAACAATCACAAAAAAAACTCCGCGTTTTTCTGGAAGGACTGATTATTATAAAAATGTCCTTATGTGCAGTTAGTAAGCAGCCTAAAATCAGTTAGTTTTAACCTTGGGATATGCTTGCGTTAACAAAATAGCAAAGCAGTTTTGGAATAGAAGCTTATTTTTAAATGTATGAAACCTGACTGAGGCTCTTACCAGTAGTGAGTCGTGCTTAATAATGAAGAGCTGGCGGGTCCACTGACCCAACCACTTCTTCCTCCAAAGGTATCCGCAAATGCGTGACTCTGGCACGGGTCTTAAGCAGGGTTGAGAGGAGCTCCACTGGATGTAGTGAGCTCTGTCCTTCACAAACTCGTCCTCCTCTTCACCGTACGACTCGTAGTGACTGCTGTCTGAGTCCACTTTATCTGAGGCAAAGATGGGGATTTTAGCATAAAAAAGTTTTTAATCTCACATGTGTCAGTTGTTTTATTAAACTGTTGTCTCTTGTACCGTGTAATAAAGTAAGTCATGCAGGTTTGGAATGACATGAAGGTAAGTAAATGACAACTATCACTTTAAAAATGAACCGCTATAGCAGCTGCTTTAAATTTGTGATAATCATTGTAATATTCAGCTATTTGCCTTATAGTAGTCGGCTGCATGCCACACTGACCTGTAGTCTGACTGGCCGGGACAAACGGTTCTGCCTCCTCGTAACAGTCATCCTCCTCTAAACACGGGGGGTGTTGGGGGACAGCAGAACTCATAGACTGAAGACACACACACACAAAGAAAAGCACATAAGATGTATTTTCCATGTTCAACACCACGTTAAATATCTAATCAGCCGTTCACATGGCAGCTCAATGCATTTAGGCATGTAGACATGGTCAGGACGATCTCCAGAAGTTCAAAATGAGTATCCGAGTGTGGAATAAATGAGACGGTAAGTGATATTGATTGTGGCATGGTTGTTGGTGCCAGACGGGCTGGTCTGAGTATTTACCAGTAGACTGGTAGGGTTAGAATAAGTTGACAAGTTTCAAATTTACTTATAGTCAGTTGAATGACTGTTAGGGGACCATCACAATAAAGTGTTAGCAGATATTAAGCAAACAGTCTACAAATACTCTAATGAGAGTTAGTTGACATACTGTAGGTGCAACGTTACTTAAAGTCAACAGAATGTTCAAAAGGGACCATCAAAATAAAGTGTTACCATATATATATACATATATCTATGTATATATATATATATATATATATATATATATAGCGGCAAAGCCACAGTGAAGACCACACAACCAAAATCGTGACCCTGATCAATCACAGCTCACATGAGCTGCTCACGGCAACCACAAAGCTATAAATGACAACAGCACAGCTGGCCAGCGTGATCACCTGAATGTGCACATGAGAGGCACTGTATCTGAGGTTTACAGAGTGGAAAACAAAATTGAGCTGAAACGTATGGAGCTTAAATCCCAGAGTTTAAGTACAGCTCTGCATTTAAAGGAAGAGAAAGAGAGAGACTACGTTTTTAGTTGTACTAAGGGTCAGTCAGTCCACAGTTTTTATGAGAGCATGGTGCAGACTGTTCTGGAGGAGCACAGCTGAAGGACAATGGCTGTGGTCTGCAATGGGGTCAGTAATTTGTAGTCGGACATTGAGGGCAAATCAGTGGCACTGAAACAAAGCCTTCTGGGAGTTGAAAACAAAAAGGCAAAAGTAGACAGCAGTGTACTCTTCAAGTTGACGTAATTCCCATGTGCCTTAACTTTGTTTTTCAAGATTCAATAAGAGTTTTCCTTAGGACGTGCATTGCTATAACCTCCAAAACTAAAGAAAATAACAAAAAAAGAAAAGTTAAGTGTACTTACAATATGAGCATTTTTAAAATACAATTTTAAAATTGCTTGTAACGCTTGTAACCTGCAGAAAATTAACATCAACAAAAGACTAAAACGGACTGATTTGAAGCAAGTGGGTTAATTTACCCTTTTATATCCCATCTTCATTTTTGTGTCTCTACGTTGGAATGTGGATGTGTGACTCAAGAATTTCAGAATGTTAATTAAGTGTTTCTTCTGTTTTATCTCTTGCATATTTTCATTCTTTCTGTTTACCCCCTCGCGCTCTTGGGGGGAGGCGTGGTGGAGTTTGAGAGCACAGCGTGTACAGCTCTGGGGATCAGATACATATCTGTGAATGAAAGATGAAAGGGGTTTTTGTGTGTTCACGTGTATGTGAGAGGACCAGGAGATAGAGGCCCAGAAAGAAATGTAGATGTTAAATTGGAAAACAAGTAAGAAGTGCCAAAAGCTAATGGATCAAAAAAAAGATAAGAACCAAGTACGTAGATAACTTTGACTTTAAAGAGTGAGTAAAACAACTATTCCCTGAAAATCCATCATTGTAGATTGTGTGCAGAATGTGTACAGTATGTTTGTAGTAGTAGAAAAAAACACACAAAAAAACGTTGTGGCTCTTTTATGATGCGTAGCTGAGGCAGAAAGGGTCCTGAATGCTCACTAAGCCTGTAAACATTTACTGCACACTCCATGTTTACCTCCTTTAATTTGAACAACTCTAAAGATCTTAATTAAATGAAAAGAGCTTCTACTGTTATCACACAAGCAAACACACATTAAAACATGCAGGTCATTTTAACCTTGTCAAATTGAGCTTATGTTACCTCATGAAGCACAAGAGGAACCAATCTAAGCCTGTAAAACACCTCACCTCTTACTAACCCCCATAGACACACACCAACTCCTTTTACGCAAGGATTACTGAAAGAATGACACACAACTAACACATGATCCGTACCTCGGAGGCCCTCTAAAGAGTGCTAAGAAAGACCTATTAACTTATGTTGTAGTCAATGTATGCTTTTCCCTGTGAGCTTTTTGTTTTTCTATATATTTTTTTCCCCAGTTGGATACGTAGTTTTACTTTTACATTTAGATTAAAGGGGTCATATAATGGTACATGCACTTTTTCAAGTTGATTGTACTGAAATGTGTGTTGGCAGTGCCTGTACACAACCATCATATAATGATAAAAATCCATCCAGTGTTTTTGTTTTAATCTCCTTATATGTTTTCCCCTGCCTCAAATCAAGCCGTTCGACCGTGTGACGTCACACGGTCGGACGCCCCTCCCGCGATTGTTGATTGACAGCCGTGTTTCAACACAGACCCGCCCTCGCTCGTGAGCCAGCTGTCAATCATAGTCTGCACGGACCGGCGCGGTCATTGTTGATATGCTGGAGCACTGTCTATGAGCAGAATGGCGTCTAAGCGATTGTGGTGTTCTGTTCTTGGGTGTAATAACGAACACAGCAGTCATTTTAATGTTCCTAAATCCGAACCGCTGAAGACGCAGTGGCTGAGTTTTGTTTTCGAAGGGAATATTCCCCACGAGCAACGTCAATGCGTTCATGTTTGCGCGAATCATTTCTCAGCAGACTGCTTTATAAACGAGGGTCAGTATAAAGCTGGTTTTGCTAAGAAGCTGCTCCTGAATAAAGGATCGGTACCAGCTATTCGTGTTCCTGCTGAACCTCTTGAACAACTGAAGTGAGTGTAACGTTTTATTAACCTTTATATTAATATTTATATCTTTGCAAATCGCTTGCCCGCTTCACGATGAATGAGTCTAAGGTTTACACTCAGGGTACATTACGGCATGTTTTCTATGTACGACGTTCTCAATATAATTCATAATCCCACGTTTATAATGAACAACGCGTTATGGTTATTGTGTTACAAACGTGTACGCACAGAACAGAGGGGCGGAGTGAGCACAGCTCATGATCATTTAAAGTCATATGCACTGAAACGGCGTGCTGAAAACAGAGCTGTTTTTGACCAGGTAAAATAACTGTTTTCTTACAATACTAATGAGAATTTTTAATTAAAGTATATTACAAACTTTTAATTTAGACCCTAAAGAATCATATTAGCTTGTACAAAAATGGCATTATATGACCCCTTTAATGAAGTCTTTTATAACACTGTAATAATTTAATAACACCGTTAAATGTAATCTTTAGCATATTTCTAAATGTATATACATTTTTCATATTGTACATTTCATTATTGTCACGATTATGTTCAGTTTTAGTTTTTTTTCTCTTTTCTTTCTCCCTGCCTGTCAGTTTCGTTATTAGTTACTATGGTTACATTTGATTTGTCATTCTGTTCAGATGTGCGTGATTAATTACCTTTCTTTGTCTCTTGTATTTAAGCTTGTGTGTTTCTGTTCTTAGTTGTCCGGTCTCGTCAATGTTTAACGGTTGTTGCTTTGCCTATTTTCATCTTTGTTACTCTATGGGGATTATTAATTAAAGACTTTTGACTTTCATCATCTTCGTCGTGTATTCTATACAACCAAGTGGAGGTGCCAATATTTGTAAAAATCTGTGTTTTCAAGACAAAAATTGTGTTACTACAGAAAACACTATTATGTTCCAAAAAGCTGTGTACAAGTAAAGATACACAACATATCCTTTCATTTAAGTCCAAAATGAAAGGATTGTTGCTTTCGAAATCTAATAATTTTAGCTCATTTTCATGAATGGTGCCAATAATTTTGGAATTGGCTGTACAGTATATTTATTATATATTTATATCTATTTGTTGCATTATATTATAAGACCAGGAACATGTATTAAGAAAATAGGGTAAGGAAAATTAAATATGATCACAGTAGATTTTATGCTAACTTCAAGAGCTACTCTGTACGATTCACAAATAAGGATAAATCAAGACTTTGATGATTTTTTCCTGGTCATTATCAGTACATACTCTAAGCCCCCTCACATGCCCAGTGGCCGTAACATTGAAATCATCCATAGATGCCCAATCTGTGGGCTCAATGTGCTCATGCTTACAGGACTGAGACCATCTGGTTGGCATGGAAACCCAAAGGTTTTGGCGCACACTTGGCTGGTGACCTCATCGCTCCCACACCTCCCAGGAGATCCTCCTTGCACCATTCGACTTCCTTCCCCTCTGAGCGGTTGTCCTATCAGTCCATCTCTCTATCACTCCATCATTGTCCTCTATCACGTAGACAGCAATAATTATCCTCCCAAAGTCCACTTCCTCCCTTCTTCTTCCCTTCTAGCCAATCACATTGCAGAGTTGAGGCACCGAGAAGGGCCTCTCATTTAAACATGGCATTTCCTGTTAAAGATATGGCCCGTCCCCCTCACTTCCTCCCCCTCAATCTTTTTCAAACAAGCTTTTGATTTTGCTCAGGGTTCTGGGATTAGGTGAACTTCCTATTGCACTTAATTGCCATGATCTAGAAATGTCCACACTGGGTTGTTAGAAGAAAACAGTAGAGAGAATAAAGTGATGTCATTAGAGGAACATTTCACCTAAAAATTTAAATTGCCATTATTTGCTCTCCCTCAAGACATTTCAAACCTGCCTGCTGTTATTTTGTCAGTGAAATAAAAAGTGAGAAATTATAAAGAATCTTTACGCATTACATTTAGCATACAATTACATTTCATAGTCATCATGGTTGTCAAGAAATGAAAAAAAGGAGAGGGGGGGGGGGGGGGGGGGGGCAATAAATAGTCTGCATGACTTGTAAATTATATTCCAAGTATATATTCCAAATTATATTCTGAAATCATACAATAGCTTGAGAAGAACATTCTAGTGTACAATAGTAATATATTTCTGTCATAATTTCTTCAATCAAACTTCCATTCCATTTACTGTCCAGCAACAGGGAAGATTTTCAGTCAAAA